GTGGTGAATCTGAATTTAATATCAGATGTATTGACCCATTTATATAATACGTTCTGTTGATGAGACAGGGGCCTATTACAATGGTGTTAGGAGGAACTCACGTGGTGTAGTAGTTCCCTCAGATGTTGTTATGAGGGACCTGGCGTGGTGTAGTAATTCCCTCGCTGATGGTGTTATGAGGGGCCTCACGTGGTGTAGTAATTCCCTCACAGATGGTGTTATGAGGGACCTCACGTGGTGTAGTAATTACCTCACAGATGGTGTTATGAGGGGCCTCACGTGGTGTAGTAACTCCCTCACAGATGGTGTTATGAGGGGCATCACGTGGTGTAGTAATTCCCTCACAGATGGTGTTATGAGGGGCCTGACGTGGTGTAGTAATTCCCTCACAGATGGTGTTATGAGGGACCTCACGTGGTGTAGTAATTCCCTCACAGATGGTGTGATGAGGGACTTGACGTGGTGTAGTAATTCCCTCACATATGGTGTTATGAGGGACATGTGGTGTAGTAATTCCCTCACAGATGGTGTTATATGAGTGAGGTTTGGTCCCAGGCCTTCCTATCGTAGACGGATTAACACATCGGTGGTTGTTGTTGGGTCTCGCGGGGGCCGTTATCACTGGGTACCTGGGACCTCACTGTGTGAAGGTTAACTTGGGTACGACTGTTACTGTTGAGTTGTTCTCACTGACTTAAGCACTGTTCACCACTGTTCACCTCTGCTTAACACTGGTTCCGGTCCTTTCATAAATGAAATTGTAACTTCTGGCGAGAACTTGTTGATATTCCTGTGGGGAGGAGGGTTCAGGGGAGGGGGTTGGTATGGGCCAACTTAACAGTTGACCTGGCTGCTCCGAGAGGAGCGCCAGGTACTTCTTGACCCTTCGGTGGTCAAGGATGTAGTGTGTATGTGTGTGTGCGTGTGTGTGTGTAATAATAATAATAATAATAATAATAATAATAATTAACGGTTTATTGGAAAAATTCTGCAGCCCGAAGGCTGAAAATATACATTGGACATAAGTGACTTATTACATACATTGGTGGTTTAACAAAAGCCTTCATTAGAGAAAGGTAAAGGAACATACAGTGAACATACAGATTAATGTAGGTGTTGAACAGCAAACTCGTAGTGTAGTAACTCCCCCCCAGATGGTGTTAGGAGGAACTCACGTGGTGTAGTAGTTCCCTCAGATAGTGTTATGAGGGACCTGGTGTGGTGTAGTAATTCCCTCGCAGATGGTGTTATGAGGGGCCTCACGTGGTGTAGTAATTCCCTCACAGATGGTGTTATGAGGGGCCTCACGAGGTGTAGTAATTACCTCACAGATGGTGTTATGAGGGGCATCACGTGGTGTAGTAATTCCCTCACAGATGGTGTTATGAGGGGCCTGACGTGGTGTAGTAATTCCCTCACAGATGGTGTTATGAGGGACGTCACTTGGTGTAGTAATTCCCTCACAGATGGTGTGATGAGGGACTTGACGTGGTGTAGTAATTCCCTCACATATGGTGTTATTAGGGACATGTGGTGTAGTAATTCCCTCACAGATGGTGTTATATGAGTGAGGTTTGGTCTTAGGCCTTCCTATCGTAGACGGATTAACACATCGCTGGTTGTTGTTGGGTCTCACGGGCCGTTATCACTGGGTACCTGGGACCTCACTGTGTGAAGGTTAACTTGGGTACGACTGTTACTATTGAGTTGTCCTCACTGACTTAAGCACTTATCACCACTGATCACCTCTGTTTAACACTGGTTCCGTTCCTTTCCTAAATGAAATTGTAACATCTGGTGAGAACTTGTTGATATTCCGGTGGGGAAGAGGGTTCAGGGGAGGTGGTTGGTATGAGCCAACTTAACAGTTGACCTGGCTGCTCCGAGAGGAGCGCCAGGTGGGTCTTGACCCTTCGGTGGTCAAGGATGTAGCGTGTGCGTGTGTGTGTGTGTGCGTGCGTGTGTGTGCATGTGTGTGTGTGTGCGTGTGTGTGTATGTGTGTGTGTAATAATAATAATAATAATTAACGGTTTATTGAAAGAGCTTGGCAGCCAGAAGGCTGAAAATATACAGTTACATATTTGGGGAATGGGTTTCGAATTACAAATAATATACAAGTAACATAAGTGACACAAATAAGACATATAATAACTAGATGGGGAAAAGCTCAAACTACAGTTCATTTCAACATAGTGACAGTGCAAGGAGTAGTGTTTACTGGGAGTGAATACACTGGTTTATTACAAGTGTGTGTGCGTGTGTGTGTGCGTGTGTGTGTGCGCGTGTGCGTGTGTATGCGTGTGTGCATGTGTGCGTGTGTGTGTGAGCGTGTGTGTGTGTGTATGTGTGTGTGTGCGTGTGCATGTGTGTGCGTGTGTGTAATAATAATAATAATAATAATAATAATAATAATTAACGGTTTATTGAAAGAGCTTGGCAGCCAGAAGGCTGAAAATATACAGTTAGATATTTGGGGAATGGGTTTCGAATTACAAATAATATACAAGTAACATA